CCTGCACTCAGCTTGGGAAGCTTGCTCCAGCATAACTGGAGCTAGTCGCAGCCTCCCTGGGCTGAGCGCAGGGCAGCCGGGCTGGAGGGAAGAGAAGTGACTGCCCGGCCAGCTAGCCATGGTGCTCAGTCAGGGTGCACCAAGCTCCACTTGGGCAGGCGCAGAGGAGAAGCCACAGATCAGCTGGAGCGCGGGGCAGCCGCTTTCAGCTGAAAGCCACGGTCAGCTTGCTGGAGTGTTTCAGCCCTCCCGACTCCCAGCTCCCACCATTCCTCGCAGCTACTCACCTGTGTTGTTGCTCGGTGAGTAGCTGCTCCTCAAATGAGAAAATCTAATGTAAATGTACTGCGCAGGCGCACAGTTCAGAGAGGGCTCAAGAGCTACTCTTAGAGCCCCTGAGATCTACCGGTAGATCACGATCTACTGGTTGGTGACCACGGCTCTAGCATATTCTAGAGGAGCATATTCCTCTAGATGTGTAGATTGCTAGGAAAAGCATGGCGAATTTCCTAACTACTAAAAAGTCATTAAGTAGTAGTGAAAGTGTGGTAGATTGGGGAATACTCAATCCGATAAGCATTTGCAGTTAAGTGAATTCACAACTGGATGGTAACCAATTACTAGCCCATCAAAGGAGATTATCTTCCTATTCTGACTACAAAAGAATTAGTGAAGGGAGCGGTTTGAGAAAAAATCCACTCCATCTTTACTGCAGTTTTATGGCTATGGGGGTGTGAAACCTCCTCACCTCCAGCGCAGCAAGTGACAGGACTGTAAAGCACCAGTGTAAATGGGTGCCGGGTGCTGGGAGCTATTCCCCTTGTGGAGGTGGCTAACTTGGAGCTGGTGCTGTGGCCACGCTTTCACTTTCAGTGTAGACCTCGCTTCTGGCTATCATTTTCTGGGAATGTTTACTGATTTGGGGTGCCTCACTTGCGTCACTTATTTGCCTGATCTTCCCACGGGAGAAAGACCTGCATTGGGCATTTTGGGTGCTCGGCACGGCTGGGTAAAACCAGAGCAAGGAAGATCAAAGCATGGGAAATTGGACAGATACCACCCCCCCAGCTTACTAGGATTAAAAAGACACTTCCCCATGGGCAGGTTAATCTGCACTATACTAGGGTCTATACTTAGGTCGAATTTATAAGCAGAGCATCCATACTACCAAGCCCATTATTTCGAAATAAGGGGTCACTTATTTTTGAAATTGATACTCCTGCTTTTCTCGGGGAAAAGAGTGGTAGTATGGATGCGCCGGTGCCACTATTTCGAAATAACCACTCCCCAGAGTCATTCGATGCCTCGGATTAATTTTGAGGCTTTCCCATAGATGCTGGTTCGATTTTGTAATATCGGGAGTTATTAAATCAACTGTAGTTATTTCGAAATGGTTTCCTAGTGTAGACATGCCCTTAAAATGCACCTCACCGTGGATTGGAAAGACTCCTGCTGTTTTAATGGTTGTTGGATCAGGCCGCATATGCTTAGGCAAATTTAAAACATAAAAAGACTGTTTGAACCCTCCTCATTCCCTTTAAAACAGCCAGACTACTTCAGCTAGCCTGGCTTTTCCCAGAAACCATGTTTTATGGGCCTGGATGATCACTGAAGCCACGAGGCATTTCCTTGCTCCTGGGTCTGAACACACAGCTTTTGGGGCTACGTCTAGACTACAAGCCTCTCTCAAAAAAGAGCGTCTAGACTACAACCAGTACTTTCGAAAAAGCAAGCCACTTTTTTGAAAGAGAGCACCCAGGCAGTCTGGATGCTCTCTTTCGAAAAAGCACAGTTTGCATTACATAGCGTCTTTTTTACGAAAGAGCACTTTAAAAAAAAGGCGTTTTTCCTCGAGGTTTTCCATGCTTGAAAAAACTGCCGTGTTCTTTCGATTTACTTTCGAAAGAACGCAGCAGCAGTCTAGATGCAGGGGAAGTTTTTTCGAAAAAAGGCCACTTTTTTCGAAAAAAAAAAAAAAAACCCTGTAGTCTAGACACCCTAAAGGACTCCCATCCCTAGGGTTCACCTCAATCAGGCTGTGTGCTGATCTAATATATCTTTTTTTTAAATTTCCCTGGCCCTGCCGCTGTGATCACTACAACCACTAGGCACTTTAAACACTACTTACTGCTATCTGTGCTTGAAATACGTCTCCTAGGCCATGTCTACACTAGGAAACTATTTTGAAATGACTAAATTCGACAGACGAACTCCTGATTGAACAAATTCACTACGGGGAACCATTGAAATTCATCCAAGGCAGGTTCCTGTGGATGCGCTACTTCAGACTCAGAGCACAGTGGGATGCTGCGGAAAGCATTCCGGAGGCCAGTTAGTTCGAATTAGCGGCACTGGAGTGTCCACACTCAACGTTATTTCCAGGGCTCGACAAACTATGTAATTTACTCGCCTGTGGCGAGTAGATTACAACCCGGAAGAGCCGGGTTCGGACGATCTGCACATGCGCAGAACGATCTGTGCATGCGCAGAACGTCAGACTGCATGGCTGGTGGGCGGGGCTTGCCGCAGCTCGGCGAGCCCTGGTTATTTCGGACTTACAAGTTCGGAATTAGCGTTATTCCCGATGAAAAGCGGGACTACAGAGTTTGCATTCCAGGGCTTGGTAGTGTGGACCACTTACTGATTTGAATTTGGGTTATTTCGGAGTAAGGCCCTAGTGTAGACCAGGGCCTAGTGGGAAACTGAGAGAGAGAAGCGGAGGAAGTAAGGGCCAAGGGAGAGAGAATAAGTCAGATAACAAGGGAGAAGGTGACAACGGGGAGCAGTGGAGAAGAGAAGAGAGACAGTGTGAACTTTGCTCTAAAAAGCAATCTGTCTCTCTTTTGTAAGGGTGGGACTCTTTGCTACTTAAATTTCTTGACATGAATCCTGCCAGCCTGGGGAAGGAAGGACTGAGTATGGCAAGGCAAGAGATGCCTGCAGCTTCATCCAACATTCTGGTGCCAATGAGCTGCACACATGTGACAGAGTCTCGCTCTGGCTTGCCTGTTTTATGACTTGCTAATTCCCTGGCAAGAATCTAACCGTGCTGAAGTATACTTAGAAATAGACACGCATTTGATAGGAATCTAGACTAAGATCGTTTGTCATCTCTGTCGTTATACTGTCATGCACTACAGGCACAGATTCTGATGTACAGCAAAGGAATTAATTTCTAAGCATCTGTTCCTTGCAGTAGTATTTGTTCCCAAACACTGCCCTGCATGTTTTATAAAAGTAATAACACATCATCATTACCAAGTGATTATTGGTAGACAGTGTTAGCCTCTGGTGGCCAATTTCCAAGTACCCACAATAACAAGTAACCATGTAAGAGTCTGTTAATTTTTACTCTTAGAGCAATGACCTAAATGGATTTTGTTTGTATTATCTTACAAATTAGGTCATAGTCCGATGATAAAAAGTAGCATCGTTCATATTAACATATCTCAGGGCCTAAGCCCTAGTCCACATTTTGAAATAACCCCCCTTATTTTGAAATAATATGCGGAGTGTCCTCACTACCAAGCCCGTTATTTTGAAAACTCCTGCTTTCTTTGGGGAATAAGCGTGTTTCAAAATGGTTATTTTGGGCATTATTATTTTGAATTTAGTTATTTCGAAATAACTTTCTAGTATACACATGCCCTTACAGCCTTAATATATTTATAAATGGAGGCTCCAGTCTTGCAAACTTTGATGCCTAAGAGTAATATGGATAACTCCACAGATGTCTCAAGGAGTAGGCGGGTTGAGTAAAGTTACTGTTCTGATAGCTGTTTTGAGGATTGGGTGCTAAATAGCTAGGGTTGCCAGGTGTCCGGTTTTGAACCGGACAGTCCAGTATTTGAGCTTTCTGTTCGGGAATCAAACTGAGAAAATATAAATGAGAAAATATAAATGTCCGGTATTTGCTAAATAAGATGTAATGTAGATTGTTTGTGATGTAATGTCAAGCGTGTCCGGTATTTTTGTTGAAACCATCTGGCAACCCTATAAATAGCAAAGTCTGATCACAGAATGTGTATCATGCATAATACAACTAAAGAGACTCAAAAAGATGAAATCAAGCATGCAAGACTGTTCATTCAACACTGTAGAATTTAAAAACCTCAGTACAACTCTTATAACAAGGGAATCCCTGAGATTATTAAGACAATTAGTGTTACTAATCTAATTTTCTTTTCACCTTTTATGCTGTTGTTTTTCTTTCTCTTTCTGTACTCAGCTAAGACAGTGGAAAATAGACAGTTTCACTTTTGCTTCTATTCTGTTTCACTTTCAGCTTCTCAATATAGGGCAAAGACGATAGGAGAATGCTCAAAGCTGAAATTGCGGTTTCCATTAACATTTAAAAAAAACCCACTTTCCATTTTTAAAAATTTTGTAACTTTTTTTTCCAACACAGAATCTAAATTTGGGCCTAACTATAGTTCAAAATGCCACTTTTGCCTCAAAGAGGACCTGAGAATGTTACTGAATTTTCCAATTTGTCGCATGCTCTGTCATTGTTTCCTCTGATACAGATCTGCATACTCGCTATTTAATGTTTTCCAGGTTTTTACTGAATAGCATAAACACAGGTAGCTAGGGTTGCCAGGTGTCTGGTTTTGAACCGGACAGTTCGGTATTTGAGCTTTCTGTCCCGGAAACAAATTGAAAAAATGCCAGATATATAAATGTCCGGTATTTTCTAATTAAGTAACTTTTATTATGATCATGAGTATCAGTACATAGTTGTGTACTACCTGGCTGGTAGACACGCTCACACTTCTGGGTGGGGTGTTGCTGTGCTGACCTAACTCCCCTCCCCCGAAGATGCAGCTGTGTTGGGGAGGCGGAGTTCCTATGGCAACGGAAAGCCCCCTCCATTGGTAGAGGCTGTGCCTACAGGTCGGGAAGATGCAGTTCCTATGGCAACGGAAAGCGCCCTCCATTGGTAGAGGCTGCACCTACAGGTCAGGGAGGCTGAGTTCCTATGGCAACGGAAAGCCCCCTCCATTGGGAGAGGCTGTGCCTACAGGTCGGGGAGATGCAGTTCCTATGGCAATGGAAAGCCCCTTCGTTTGGTAGAGGCCATGCCTACACTATGGGGTGATGCAGGCATGGCCCCCAGGCCTCCTCCCGTATCCCTTCCACTGTGTAAACTGCCTCCACCCCCTGGAAACTGTCCCACTGCCCCCCAGTCCCACCCCTCTGCAAAAATCGCTCCCTTCCTCCCCAAACTGCCCCCACAAGTGTCCCTGCTCCAGCCAGTCTCCAGCACGAGGGGCATGTGCCACTGGCCCCTCTGCCAGCACTTTGCATCACCAGTGCCACCGGCTCACCCGAGACTGCTGCCCGCTGACAGTCCAGGCTGCTTGGAGACAGGTAACCACCCTGGCTGGGCCTGAGTGCGAGGGGATCCGGCTTCTGGGGAGCGAGCCAGGCCCGCAGTGAAGGAGACAGGGAAGCCCCCCCAGACCGCTGCCTCATCTCTTCCCTCACAGCCAGCCTCCCTCATTGCCCTCTGCCCCCTCAGCCCTACCTCCAGATCCCAAGCTCCACTCACACACTCAGTCCTGAGCCCCCTTAGCCCTGCTCCAAACCCCTTAGCTCCCATCTCCTCCACACTCAGCTTTCCCATGTCTCCACCTTACCTCACCCTCCCCATCTTCCTTCACCCACACCTTTCAATCCTACCCCACACCGTCTGGTCCCCAGACTTCCACCCACAAACCATGTAGCCCCCCATGTGCCCCAGTCTCCAACAACCATAGCTCTCCATCTACCCTCCACACTCTGTCTGCAGCCTCCCCTAACTTAGGACCCCATCTCCCCTTCCCCGCCACACTTACCTCCCATGCCTTCTTGTTCCTCCCCCAGCCCTACACACCTATCTTCCCAACCCTTCTTCTAGATGTTTTTTTCTCCCTCCTCCTTATAACAACCTTTTTTGTACTTTAAAATGATCATTTCCTCTCTGTCTTTTCTTTTCCTGACTAATTTTTTCACTCTTCCCTCATAGCTCATGTTCCTTAGACCTTTAATCATTTTTTTTGGTCTACATCTTTCCTGAAATATGGTACCCACAACTGGACACAATACTCCAGCTGACATCTAATCAGTAGAGCTGAATTACTTTTTGTGCCTTGCTTATGACAATCCTGCTAATACATCCCAGAATGATGTTTGTTTGTCTGTTTTTTGGCAACAGTGTCTGAGGGTACGTCTAAACTACATGGCTCCGTCGACGGAGCCGTGTAGATTTGTTTGTTTGGCAAAGGGAAATGAAGCTGCGATTTAAATAATCGCGGCTTCATTTAAATTTAAATGGCTGCCGCGCTGAGCCGACAAACAGCTGATCAGCTGTTTGTCGGCTCAGCGAGGCAGCCATTTAAATTTAAATGAAGCCACAGTTATTTAAATCGTGGCTTCATTTCCCTTTGCCAATCAGCCTTATCTACATGGCTCCGTCGATGGAGCCATGTAGTTTAGACACACCCGTACTGTTGACTCATTTAGCATGTGGTCTACTATCTTCACTTAGGTCCCTTTCTTCAGTTCTCCTTCCTAGACAGTCATTTCCCATTCTGTATGCGTGCAACTGATTGTTCCTTCCTAAGCAGACTACTATGCATTTGTCCTTATTGAATTTCAAACGTTTTACTTCAGGCCATTTCTGCAGTTTGTCCAGATCATTTTGAGTTTTAACTCTATCCTTCAAAGTGCTTCCAACCTCTCCTAGCTAGCTATCACTCACACATTTTAGAATATAAACATATGTAGCCCCCAAGGAGAGGCACTCTGAGTTTGCCTTGGCTCCCCTTCCCTACCAGGGCCAGAGTCTGCCCGGCAACCCATAGGGAGTTAGACGCCCCTTCCAGGGAGTTCAGAAGGGGGAAGGAGAGGCCGTTATTGGGGGGAAGTCTGGAGCAAGCCAGGGCAAGGGCAGGACTGGCTGTGTGGGAGCTAGTAAGCCCCAGGCCTGCATGCAGGGTTCCCCCTGAGAACTGGCCTCTAGGGACCTGAAGGCAGGATCCCTCAGCTGGGTTTTCTGTCTCCACTGGTGATTCCCAGTTTGTGGAGTTTGCTGGGAGGCTTCCCCAGCCAGGCTGAGTTAGCTCTCCAGCTCCCTGGGTGAGAAGAGTCACCACATGGTCAGCTCGGCTCTATCTGCGAGTTCAGGGCTGCTGCCTGCTGCGTGTCTGAATGCTGGGCTAGGCGGTTATAGTTTGAATTTTGGTGCAGTTGTGTGGCCTGCACCTTGAGCCCTGCACCCCTTTGCGGTGAGGGGAAATTCTGGGACCGAAGCAGCCTGATTCCTGCCTGA